AAGTCAATTCTTCCTAAGTTAACATAGTTAGCATGTTAAATAGGTTAAATTTAACATAGTTCAATGTGCACACCAAAATATTGTTCAGATGAATCAAATATTAAACATCGTTTTTAAAAAATTATTTACAGACTAGATTATACTTAATTTGGATTGTTACTCACCTCTGAGAGGGTTAGAGGGCATTCTCATAAAGGAAAAAGACAAAGGAAAATGTGACTAACTAAAAGGTAGCACTGTTATGACCGAGTAAGCGAGGAAGTCATGCCAGCAAGCTGAGTCTAATTAATTAGAGCTTTATTAATGCGCGGGTCAAGAGCAGGCAACTGCCAGGAAAAATAACTCTTGACAAATTGGTGCAGTTTGTGACAAGCTTTTATAGGCAAAATTTGCAGTATTGGCTACGTAGTAACTTAGTGACCATAGCAACTATTAACTAACAACTTGGCAACCAAAATGGGAACTTTTGATTGTTAGGGAGCTTTGATTAATTTATGTCCTAGGTATAGCCAGTGTCCAGAAAGTCCCTGGAGTTCTGCCATTAAGATATCATTTAAGGTAGTTGCATAGAGACAAAGAAGAAGAATTATTACACAATGGAGTCACCTTGGTTAGGTTACTAACAGAATATAAGGCGTAACATTTGATTTTAGATAACAAAGCATATAATTACATGGAACTTATGGCTAAGGAGTTTTGTAACAGTCAGCAGGAAATGATCAGCACAACCTGCCCAAAGGAGACAAAGCTGGGAGTCTGCGGTAATGGGAACGTTACTGTAATCACACGTAGGCATTGATTCTTAGGTCAGGCAGGTAACTAAGATGAAAGTTTTCAACAAAATGGAGTAAGCTGGTTAATATTATTATTTTGTTAGCAATTTGATTTTATTAACTGATTTAGTTCATTTCAACAGCACTGTATTCAGGAAAAATTAAAATAAGCTGTAAGAACTTTATAGTGATTATGATAGCATAAGATTGCATCTTAATGAATAGCTCATCAAAATGCAAACAAAGCAGAAAGTTTTTTCCATTTATCAAGAGACAATTAACTAAAATTGGAAATTAACAAAAGAAGTAATACCACTAGTTAGTAATTACAGAGAAAGTGTTCAAGCAGTAGGAATCAAATACATTTGGATTTTCAAAAAGCTGAGACCATTTTTTACTACCAAAATAGCAAGAATATCATATACTGGTACCTCTATGCACCCGTCAGATTGGCTACAGCTAAGCAGACTGAACGCATTAATGGCGCGAGTGCCCCCACTCACAGCCTGCTGGAGTGTACAACCGCTTGCTTGACATGCCTCGAGGAAGCTGAAGTAATGCACCTCAATGACCCAGCAATTCCACTCATAATGCAGGACCCAGAGAAACCCCTGCACATAAGTACCAGGGTACAGAGACGCCCAGGATGCTCATGGCTGCAGTGCTCAAGAAAGTCTGAGATGGGACATGTCTATCTCTAGTGGAAGGACGACATCAGAGTTTTCTTGTACTGGGAGACAGATGTGCTAAAACGAGCAGATGAGAGTTGACCTTACAATACAGACTATTCTTACCAACACAACGTTAGATGGAAGAAGAGAGTCACAAAAGACTACGTGTGGATGATTCCAGTTATTCAAAGTTCAACAAGTAAGGAAACTAAACTATTTTGTTTGCACCTAGGTACAAAAGTGATTAAACTAAATAAATGCACAGGCCTGATTATCCCAGTAGCCGAGATAACAGCTTCTCCCGGGTGGGAGGGAGGTGTAGGATGGGGAGATGGTAGGCAGGACCCTGGGTTCCTCTGTGGAGGAGGGTCTGATTTCCTGACTGCGCGTTTACAAGGGTGATGACTTTGCAATCATGTTTAAAGCTGTGTGTGTGTGTATGTGTGTGTGTATTTTTTTCCTGAGTCGGAGTCTCTCTCTGTTGCCCAGGCTAGAATGAAGTGGCACGCTCACAGCCACCACAGCTTCAACCTACTGGGCTCAGGTGATTCTTCTGCCTCAGTCATCAAAGTAGCTGGAACCACAGGCATGCGCTATCATGCCCAGTTAATTTTTTTTTGATTTATTGTAGAGACCAGGTCTCACCAAGTTGCCCAGGCTAATCTCGAAATCCTGGACTCAGGCAATCCTCTCACCTTGATCTCCCAAAGTGCTGGGATTACAGGTTTGAGTCACCATGCCCAGCCCTTGTATGTGTAAATTTTTATAAGCTAAGAAATACATGTCATGGGTTGAAGTATGTCCTGCCTACACATACACACACACACACACACACACACACACACACACACACACACACACACAAAACATATTAAAGCCCCAATCTCCAATACCTCAGCATGTGAATTAGTTTGGAAATTGGGTGGCTGCAGATAGAATTACTTAGATCATCCTCAAGTCATGCTGGAGTAGAGTAGACCTCTATTGCAGTATGCTCTATTGCAGTATGGCCACTGTCCTTATAAGAAGATGGCTGTATAAAGACAGACACAGAGATGACCACATGACAACAGAGGCAGAGATGGGGTGAGATGTCTATAAGCCAAGGAAGCAGCTTGCCACCACCAGAAGCTAGGAGGGAGCTATAAGACTGGGCTTCCTCAAAGTCCTCAGAGGAACCAATCCTGGACACCTTGATTCTCCAGAACAGCAAAGAATGTACTTCTGTTATTTCAAGTTACCCAGTATGTGAAATTTTGTTACGACCACTCTTGGAAACCAATATATTATATTTTCACATCAAAAATAGTTTCAACACTTTCCAAGAATGTGTGTCTCTGGTCTCTAATTTCTTGAATAAATCACAAAATCTAAAATCAAAAAGCAGTCCAATCATCCTACTTTATATATCCTGTGAAAAAGTTACACTGGAAGACATAATTCAAGTATAAGCATAAGGGGCTCCTATTCAGAACAGAAAGCTATGCAACATGTTTAGTTGTACCAGGAGGTCGAGGATCAATTGTAGATGTCCAAGAGCATTAAGAAATAAAAGATGTGGTTTGTTCCAAATGTGTGGCCTGTACACATTTCATCCTGATCTTTTGATTCTCCAGTGTCTGAAGTGACACTGCACAGGGCTTTCGGAAAGACCTTCTGGCTCATTCCATGTCACTCCAGAGAACAGAGGAGCCGACCTGAAAGGAGACCTGACCAAGACTTGTCCCCAGCAGCATGCTAAGGACCACGAACAGCTCTGTGCAAGATGACCTTTGGCTACCAGTCTGCTCTCTGCACACTAGAAATACTGCTGGTCTCAGTGTTTACAGAGTGGTGTGCTCTCGGGGCCCTCCCCAGGGATTGATTTTGTATGGGATGCTGAGCACATGTCAGGCACTGCCCTTCTCAAGCATGTTTCTTAGATCAGGAGTGTCATGAAGGCCATAAAGGAGAAATACACTGTGAGCAGATTTATTAAAAACAACAACAACAACAACAAATCCAGGGTTACTTTTCTGCTACTTTCTAGTACTCATGTACCAAAAGAGAGTAAAATACAGAAACATTTTTCTCCAGAAAAATAATAATGAAGTTGAAAAGAACAGTAATAAGGAATGGTGACACCAAGCTGTCAGTTTTCAAACTTCAGTTCTGCTGCTCGGTAGCTGGATGTACTTTTGACCAGTTATTAAGCTCAACACACATTTCTTCATCTGTGAAATTAAGATTGAAATCTGCACCAACTGCAGAGGCATGTTGGGGAGATTCAGTGAGGGAATGTGTGAAAATATTGAACTCAGAATGTTGTATGTGGTTAAGTGCTTACTACATATTCGTTACTGAAATAACAATAATAGTGATAATAGTAATAGTCTCTTCAGATTTGTACTTGAAATAGCTAGACATATTTCTAGCAGAGCTGACTGCAGAGTTGGCCCCAAAGGGTCATTTCATTCATTCACCCCATTAAATTGAGCAGAGAAGGAAAACCTCAGTTCCTCAAGTTGGCCTATCAGGAAAAAATACCACTCCCTTCTGTTACCTGGTCTGTTGAATACGTGTTAGGATTAAGTAATTCCTAAGGAGGTTTCCCAGCATAAAAAAATTCTGATTTCTAACATTTTCTATCAACCATAAATCAATTGTTACATCTCTAAATTATTTTCTTTCAATGAGTATTTCTGTTATGCTAGCCTCTACCACTTTCTATAGGCTAGTTTAGTGGCACGCAAACACGTAAGAAAGAGAGAGAGAGAGGGGGAGAGAGAGAGAGAGAGAGAGAGAGAGAGAACGCGCCAGCCCCAATACAATACTGTAATTCCACTGTAAAGGCTATTTTCATACCATGTAAGTTTACTTGCACCAAACTTTTAGGTTTCTTTGCTTTGAAAGAGAAGAAAAACATTATTTTGTGAAATATTTAAAACCACTGATGATTTCTCAGGCCACTTGGATGAACTTCAAAGGTTGCAATATAACTCTTGCTTTTAGTGATATTTGCTATTTTGCTGATGAGTTATTTAACTATAGAAGTTACTTTGGCATTTCCAAACCCACCTGGGGGTGAGAACTGAAATTCAGCCCCTTCCAGCCCTCAGCAGGAACGCTAAGCTCCTCCGTGGGCACGTTTCTGGCTGTGCAGGAGAGGTCCTGCTGTCAGAGGGGTGCTGTCCTCCAAGCCCAGAGACAGGAGGTAGGTGAGTGATGAGAGGCGTGGGCAACATTTGGGAGTGGGAGCAGTGTTGGGTGGCAACCTTGGGAGTGGTGGTAAACATGTCTGCAGGCTGTCCCCTCCCTAGGAAGCAGTGACAAGCATGCTGCAGGCCTGTTCCTTCTCCCCAGAGAGTGATGAGGAGCACCCTACAGGCCAGTCCTCTCCCTAGGGAGTGGTGGCGAGCACCCACAGGTCTGTCCCCTCCTAGAGAGGGCTGGCAAGCACCCTGCAGGCCTGTTGCCCCCCCTAGGGAGTGGCGATGAGCACCCTACAGATCTGTCCCCTCCTAGGGAGGGCTGGTGAGTACCCCCCCCCGGTCAGGACTGTCTCCTCTCCCCGCAGGGGCCAACGTGAACTTGAAGACCAACAACCAGGACGAGGAGACGCCTCTGCACACCGCAGCGCACTTCGGGCTGTGGGAGCTGGCGGCCTTCTACGTGGAGCACGGCGCGCTGGTGGACAGCCCGAACGCGCACCTGGAGACGCCGCTGGCCACCGCAGCCTACTGGGCGCTGCGCTTCCGCGAGCAGGAGTACAGCGCGGCGCACCACCGCGTGTGCCGCCTGCTGCTGGCGTGCCGCGCTGAGGTCAACGCGCGCGACGACGACTTCAAGTCCCCTCTGCACAAGGCGGCCTGGAACTGCGACCACGCGCTCCTGCTGATGATGCTGGAGGCGGGCGCCGAGGCCAACCTGGTGGACATCAACGGCTGCGCCGCCCTCCAGTACGTGCTGAAGGTGACACCCGTGCGCCCCGCCGCGCGCCCCGAGCTCTGCTACCAGCTGCTGCTGAACCACGGCGCCGCGCGCATCTACCCGCCGCAGTTCCACAAGGTGAGCCGCGGGCGGGGCCGGGCTTTGGGCGTCTCGGGTCTCCAGTCCCGGCCTCCACTCTCCATCTCCATCTTGGCTGCCCACGAGCGTTCAGGGTCTGCCCCCAGAGCTGGGAAGGAGGCTAGGAGTAGCAGGGACTTCTTTATGCCCGGGGTGAACCCCGGAGAGCCTGTCGGGCCGTGGCTTCCTGGGGGCCGAGTCAAGTCCACCAGAAGGATGGGGGTGTCACAGGCACACACGTGCCACCCCTGGTATTTATTTATTTACGTTAGGAAAAGAGTGTGATACCTTCCTCTAAGCAAAACGTCTGAGCTGAGGATGACGCGTCTGGTCGGGAATTAGTTCGCTTATGGTCCGAAAAGGGCTACCTGGATCTCCAGTTTAATGAAAGCGAACGTTTATGTGGTATTCAGTCATGCTATACATCATGAATTAAGCACACTGTTGTAAGCATTTCACATTTCTCAGTTAATTTATTTAACTCTTACGACAGTCCTACCAGGGCTATATTATTAGTATCCCCACTCCCCAGAGGAGAAGGATGGGGCACAGAGTAGTGAAGTCATTGGCCTGAGCTCCTACAGCATCCCTGACAACCTTCGACGTTAGGCCATTTGGTTCTGGCATGTGTTCTTGTTATCACTGTTGACTAAAAGATGTCAAACTCTGTAAAATATTTTAGAATGGTTTATTCTGGCCAACTTGAGGACCCAGACCCATGGCATACATTCCCAGGAGGTCCTGAGAACATGAGCCCACCATGGGTGAAGGGTAGCTTGGTTGTATACAGCTTAGGAGGATGGAAGTTACAAGAAATCATAAACCAACACTTTCGAGATGTACACTGGCTCAGTCCAGGCAGGCAGGACCTTTCTAATCATGGCCCCCAGACTGTAGGTGGATTCAGAGATTTTCTGCCTGACACTAGCCAGTAGAGTTACCTGAGGAACTGTGAAGGCAGTGAAGGAATGGGAGCTTGAGGGAGAAGGTAGTGAAACTTCTTGATATTTACAGGAAGCTTTATGAGTGGCTGGGGAAGGTTTCAAACTGAGCAGGTAATTGTTTTAATAGATGCCGGAGTCCCCAGAAGACAGTTTTTAGGGTCATAAAATACTGTGATTTTTTTTTTCTTCATCTGTCAGAGTGGAGAGTAAATCATATTAAACGTTAGGAATTTGACAACAAAAAGGAAAAAAATCAGTTTAGTCATCATATCACACACAGTTTTCCTTTTCAGTAGTGACTGATTGGTCATCTCTACTGGACTGACAGGGATCAGACGCGAGACGGATGTGACTTAGACATGGCCTCTCCCCTCAAGTGGTTGAAACTCTGATGGAGAGACAAAGAGACAGTTCTCACATGCTGTGGTCAATGATGAGGTGGAAGAGCGAATGGTGCCACAGGAACATGGAGGGTAGAGGGCTGTGCATACATTTATCGATGGTAATCATTGGAAGCCAAAGTGCATTTTTATCTTAAAATAAACAAATCAGATAATACAAGATCAGACAGTTAAGTTTGGAAACTCATCCAGAAAAAAATGCTACATACATCCTTGCTGATTATCTCTATATCACACTTGCAATGACGCCAGCACCTAGTCCGCCCATCAGAGCAATTTTGGAACTTTTTCTGCAGTGGCCATCAGACCCATCGTTATATTGCCCTTGACATCCTGAATGTCACCAAATGTCTTCCTTTCAATATTTCCTTTATCTTTGGGTAAAGAAAAGACTCATCAGGGGCCAGATCAGGTGAGGAGGGAGGGTGTTCCCATACAATTATTTGTATGGTGCTGCCAACATAAGCTCACATGGCAAGTTCACAAACTTAATAGACCTCAACAAATGACGATGACAACTCTCATGGCCATATCAGAAAAGGAGTTCCAAAACTGCTTTGATGGGTGGACTAGGCTCTGGTGTTGGAGCATAACTTCCCTTCAAGGGGAGGACATTGAAGGTGACTGTAGTGATATTCAGGAACAAGGGATGTAGCACTTTTTCTAGGATGGTTTGCAAACCTAATTGTGGACCTTGTACTATATCTAGGATCCTCTTTATTCTAAAAATTAAATTAATAAGAAGCAGAGGTATCTAAGGCATAGCCTGACTGACTAATCTAGGACCAAAGAAAACAAATTGACACGAGTGTTACTGACCTCATAGCTAAGTTCTACCTCCTGCCTAGAATGTCAGGAACTTGTTAGAAGTCCTGCAGTGTGAGGGTTAGTTAGAAGAAAAGTTCCCTTGTAGAATCAAGGGCAGCGTACTCACTCAGGACAGATTCTGGATGGACGACCCAGGAAATGCCCCAATGAGGATTTGATGCATTCAGCGATTCCTTTAATTTCAGTAAAGTATTTTCTCTTGGCTATCAGTATTTTAATGAAAGAATAAGCAATTATTTTTCTTAAAATTATACATAAAGCCCAGCATGTACTGAAACTTTCTAAAAGTTTAATAAGGAATTCCAAATAATTAAGACAAAGGGGAATAGAATAATAACTGCACTCACAATAATTGTCTTTTGTTGAGGTCTAAATAGACTTCACATGAATTATTTCATTTTATTTTTATTACTGCCTCTGAGGCATGTGCTGGCGTCAGACTCATTTAAAATGTGAGTAAGGTAAGGCAGAAAGTATTAAGGTATTTTCATAAAGTCATGCATAGTAAGTAGTCAAGTTCACCTATGCATTTATTTAACAAATATTTACTGAGCACCTACTATGTGCCAGGCACTGTTCTACCTGCTGGAGGTAGAACAATGAAGGGACAAAGGTCCTCATGGAAGAAACTCTAGTGGGAGACAAAAATAAACAAAATAGTAAATATCCTCTGATCTGTCAGGTGCTAAATGGAAAAATAGAGCAAGGCAAAGACAAAAGAGAATGCTTGTTTTGGAATGTTTGTGCACATGCTATTTTAGATAAGTTGATTAGAGAAAATACAAATGTGGAGGAGTGAGTTATGTGATGCTGGGTGGCAGGCGGGGACAAAGAGGGCACTTCAGGCATAAGGAAAAGCAGGTGCAAGGGTCCTGTGCTGGGAGAGGGCTAAGACCACTTGAAGGAGAGTCAGAAAGCAAGCGATACTGCAGAAGAGTGTGTGAGGGGAGGAGAAGTCGCAGCGGCATGTGGGGCGGCTCGTGGACCATGTATGTGGCCTTGTGCACTTGGGAATGTCCTTGGCATTTGATTCTCATGGGAGAGGATGTCCCTGAAAGGCTTTGAGTTGGGAAATGGGGAAGTGATTTACATAGTCTAAGAGGATCCTTGTGACAGGTTTTTGGAGAATGGCTCTGGCGGGAGGCGTGCAAGTAGCCATGACATAGATGTAGAGGAGAGAGACCTGGGCTCAGGGAATGGTGGGCATGCCGAGCAGGGTCTGGGCTCAGGGATCAACTGAGAAGATGTGAGGGCATCTGCTGACGGATGATCTGTGGGCCAGGAGAAGAAGAGAGGAGCCGAAGGCGGTGTCACATGTCACTTGGCCGAGGAAGGGGGAGAATCCAGGGCCATGTCCTGCAGTGGGGGTGATGCAGAAGCAGCAACTGGGAAGGGCCAGTCAGGAGCACCACTGTCTTCGAGGGGCCTGTCAGAGACCAGGTGGAGACACCTCACGGGCAGGCGCCTCTTCTGCAGTCCAGGCAGAAGACCCAGTGGACACATGTCTAGAAGCCTTCGTGTTGGGCATGACATCTAAAGCCCTGAGGCCCAATGACACCCCTGGAGCAAGAGTGTGGGAGAGGAGAAACATGGCTTGAGGGCCGGGCTGGGGAACTGGCAGGTGGAGGTGGGGAGGGATGCAGGAGTCAGTGAGAAAAACTGCAGAGACCTGGAGATGGCATGAGCCTTGACATAGAAAGTCCTCTGGAAACCCCCCAGCAAATGTGTTTCAGAAGGGAGGATGTGGAGAAAGTTGGGCCTGATGCAGGGGACAGTTCAGAACCTTGACACCGGTTGTTTGGTGAATGATGGTGGGAAAAGGCTGAGTGATGTAGCTTCAGAGGACACAAGAAGTAAGAGAGGTGGAGACGGAAGGATTTGGGGCATAGTCTTATAACCAGAGGCAACTGGAAGGGAAAGATGGCTGACGGGACAGCGTGTCTGCTGGCTGTTGAAGGTGTTTCAGGAAAGGGGAAGCCCAGTGCAGGTAATAATGGGAGTGATTTTTGATTTGGACACAGAGGACGGAATTGGAGGTGCCCATGAGTGGAGGTTGGTCTTGGCGTTCCAGAAAATTCATCCACTGAAACAGGGGTGGCAGCGCCTTTGTGCACCAATGTAGGGCCGTGGCCGGTGCAGGCTGGTGTTTGCAGTTCTTTGAGGATTGATTCCAGTGAAGAATGAGAGAAGAAACTGGAAGGAGAAGCTGTCAGATGCTTGTCTTGGGGCATGAATGAGGTAGGATGGCCAGGGGGCCACCCCGTAAAAGGCCAGCCATCATGTGTTTGACTTAGACTGAGTTCTGTCCAATTCTGGCACCTATGCTCTTAGATTCAGTAGTTTCTGCTGTGTTTTCTAATAGCATGATATCAATTAAACAAGGCAAGAAGAATCTAAAGAGGTCCTTTTGCTTCATTCTCAAGGCTCCTGGCAGAAATCATGCTCGTGTTCTGCCTGTGAATCTCCATGATGGTAGACTCCACAGTGCTCCTGTCCCTGGGCATCCCTCGGACTTGAAACGCCCGGTTTCTTCCACTTGTTATTTCTGCTTGTTATCTGTGTGAGTCCTCTAGTTACTGCTCAGTACCTGGAATAGCTCATCTGTTTCCTATTAAGTCCTTATGTCTTTATGTCAGCTTATACCTGGGGCTTCTCTGTCCTCCCAAGCCATATTTGATATCTCACATTTTTAGCTTTTATCTAGATCTTAGTCAAATCTGCCTGAAAAGGCCAGGAATCATGAAGTTGTTTAACCCTTATATTTTTCCTATAACATTTAAGGAAAAACGGCTTTAGAAATGGCCTGAAATAACATTCTGTGGAATCT